ATTATAATTACAATTTCCAAGCACATGCTCGCATTTTCTTTTGGGCCAAACGGTAAATTAGCGACCAACAGAGCGTTGATCCATTACCTTATATTGTGGCGTTTGCCTGAATTTCCCGAATGGCAACAAATGAAGAAATGAAGAGGAATTGCATTATTTCCGGTTGTTATTCGAAATGCCAGAAGTTGCCGATAAAAATCAGCGAATACATTATGGAAGCAGCGAAAGCGGAAGAAACTGATTACAAAACAGTTGATAATTAACAAAGAAAGTTGCTTATGAATGATGCATATTAAGACAAATGGCTGAAACATTAGCCCGAATTGGTATGCCAATGATTAACTTATTAGTTGGGGCCTCCAAATCCCCAAAAAATACCTACCTACCATACTTAATCGGCTAAATCTGGCTAATTTGCTTTGCAAATTGTCTCTGACCTAAAATCCCATTGGGGTCAGCTATTTCAAACAGCGGGTTTATTTTTAACAACCAAAATCCTTGGCTTTTTGGAAAATTTTCGCCCCAACAATGAAACCTCCCTTTACACTAACGTGGGCAGTGACCGAATTATTACTCAAACAAACACTGAAATTGGCAAAACTAGCTAAATCATCGACAATCCTAATGTGTGATCCAGCAATTTTCTAGGCACTCAGAATAACTTAACCAGACACTCCTATTTTAGCTTTAGTTCGTTTTTAAACACACGCTACTAAACAGGCAGGAAACGGATTTCATAGAACGGGAACCAACGAGCAAATTTCCACACATCCAACTGATGATTGCATGAGTGGAAAATCAGTGCTCAATTGCAAAACAAAGACAAATCAACGAACCTTCTGAGTGAAAACTGGACTTCCTGGGCAAGTTCCCCGTCAGGGGGTGTCTCTTGGTGGCGGTGGGCGTTGCAACACTGCTGCCTTCCAACTTGGACATAGACTTGCCCCTTTTGTGTCTCTGCTGGAACTTTTCAGCCAGTGATTTGTGCCTTTGCAAGTCCACCTTCTTCTCATTGCCAAAGTCTATCGTAAATGCTGTGGGCCGCGGAGATTCAGGCACAGTCGATTCACTAGGGGATATTTCAGGTTTTTCTTCCATATTTCAAATTCTTCAACCATTAGGTTAAAACCCCACGAACATTTTCATACAGTGTGTATTGCACGGAATTGCTCGTCGTTATTGCACATTATCGCTCAAACTTTACTTTCAAAGTTTTCAGTGTTCGTGTTAAGCACGGGGGCTCGGTTTAAACGAAATCGCAATTTAAAACCCCACGAAACACAACCCTTGGATTAACTTACAGAACTTTGACAAGTCGAATGCCAAAAGTGACATTAATAATATTTTGGTTTGTGGGGAGGGCTGATCAAAAGGATCCTGTGATCAAATACAGGGAAAAATCGTCTGACTTGACAACGTCGGATAGAAGGCTCAACAAGTAAACACGTAATTCCAAAATACGTTTAACTGTAAAAATGCCCTCATGAAAAAACCACTCACAATCAGGACAAAGTTATGTAAATAAATAAAACTGTAAATATAGTCGTTTGCTCATATAATAAATCAGCTACATAAATATTAATAGCCCTGTTAACGCCGAACTTAGATTAAGGACATTTCCTCACATCATAACTATTCATAACTTTCTAAAGAAGCAATCATATTATCTATTTGAAGATAGTTTAATTGCAGCTGCTATTATCAGGCGTAACCTTTTGCAAGTCAATCGCATTTCAATATTCATAAGCCACAGATAAACCGAAATACAATATATAAACTCAGCAAAATAGCCCAGAATTGACGCAAGAATTGTGAAAATGAGAGGGTTTATTATCGCCATTAGTCTACTATTCTATAGCTGTCTTGCGGATATAGGTAAGCAACTAATAAGTGTTTTATTAATAGTTATTTTAACAATTAAGTCAATTTTCCCCATACTCTCATAAATAATGTCGCAGAATCGAATTTTTATCGCGAAGAGCCTTGCGCTGCGAAGAAAGGCTTTTGCCTGTTAAAGAACGAGTGCCCTGGAGAGCTAGGCGGAGAATGGGAGTCGCTTTGCGGCGCGCAAAAATCCCTTGGAGCAGTTTGTTGCTCCAATGGTAAGTAAATTTGCAACATTTCCCGCGCTGTGCTGAATCGAAATGTTACAGTGAAGGCCCAAGAGCTCAACTGCTTCCAGCTCCATAACACCTGCTCAGAAAAATGCCCTCAAAGCCTAACCATAGGGAAAAAAGGATGTGCGGGGGACTCAGTTTGTTGCGCTTTAGTGTAGAGTAACTCTCTGGAAAAAATAAAACTCCCGTTTTATTTCGACTCCAGCCTCAGCTTTTTTCGCTCCATGTATTCCTGAACGTTATCAAACTTCCTTTTATACCACGCTGTAACGTCGCAGTCGTTACTTACAAAGGCCGCTTTATACTCAACTAGTCTATTTTGGGTAGTTTTCGCGTCCACTGCCCTAAGAGTATCAGCGTCAACTTGATATACCTCAAACTTATCTGAGAGCACATAGAGCCGACTTGTTAGCCAATAAGAGACAATGTTGGCATACAAATCCACAGTATGCTTAAGCGAATGTTCTAAACTGGGCGTCTTAATGCTGTATAGATACAGTTTGGGAATACTGTATAAGGAAATAGCTAGAGTTACCAGTCCGTTTTGTTCGCTCACTTTCATGCTGGTTACTGGGAGGGCAGTTACGTCCACTTTTTCCAGATCCATTTGGCTGCCGAACTTTTCCATAGTGAGCCCATCCACCAAACCAGCCGTGTTTATTATGCTAATCTGCGGAAACATTCAACCAATGCAAACCAAATCTATTAATTCCGGGCAATACTCACTTGTTTGCCCTCCGAGTAGTGCCACATCCGAACAGTCCCATCCCCCGAAGCCGACAGGAGGACGTTGGGATTAGTTAGCAAAGCCAGGGAAGTAACAAACTCCGTATGCCCCAAGCAGAAAGTGGCAATGTTATACGAGTTCGGATAACGGGACACGCGGATCTTCTCGTCTCGGTCGCAAGTTATCACGTACTGGCCGCAGGTTGTTACCAACATGTCCAGAATCACACTTAAATGTCCCAGTAGCAACTGCGGCTGATTACTTTCGTCTGCTATTTTATACAGGTAAACATCCCCAGTCCTATCGGCCACTAATACATCGTTGGTTGGCGTAAAGCACACCTAGAACCGAAGCAGGGGCTGGAAAATCCAAAAAGAGGTGCTACTACGCACCTTGCTAGGCGCTCGCGCCAAAATCAGGTTCTTCACCACGCCGAAATGGGCCCCAAAGACCACCAACTGCTTGCTTTCAGTGGTCACTGCTATGTACTGCTGATCTCTGGAAGACTCCATGCAGGTGATCCGGTTGATTACGGCTTCAGTTGGCTGAAAAGTGAAAATCCCCACATTAGACCATTGGCCTATTAGGCCCCAAAAGCCCCTCGTACCTTGATTTGACCCACTTTATCATCCTGCTCTGCAGCCGGGAGCTTTGGCAGGTCAATGCATTGGGAATTGGCTTGAGCGTCAATAACAACCAGCCGATCCAAAGCGGAGGTCACCAGCTTAAACCTATCAGCAGTTTGGAGGTCTTCCTGTATTATAAACATTGTAAATTTAACGCATAGATTTAACTGAATCAAAACATGTCAGACCAATGGTAGTGAGGTTAGAACTACTAATCAGCTAGGAAATTGACGGTTAAGAACAGATTTTTCTTCAAGCAAAGTCAGTAATTAACCTCACAAATGACAGAGATGATCTGTGGTTAACCTCAATTTGTAGTATTTTTTTACCATAAACAAACCTAGTTTTTTGTTTATTTGGCTTTGGAAAGTTTTGAGGCATTTCGCGAGCAATGGTTGAGGAGATCAAGAACAGCTTGCAGGAAATCCTGACCAAAATCGACGGTCTTTACTGCATAATGTTCACGGATAGAGATGGGGTGCCTCTGCTCAAGGTAAACATGGGCCAACCCCTTTGGGCACTAATCAACCCTCTCCTGCTAGGTGCACACCGATAAAGCCCCGGAGCCGGCAGTGAAACCCAGCTTCATATCCACGTTTTGCATAGCGATCGATCAGGGTAGCAAATTGGGCCTGGGCAAAACGAACACTATGATTTGCATGTACTCGCAGTACCAGGTGGTGCAAATGAACAAATTGCCCTTAATCATCACCTGTGTGGCCAATCAGAAGTGCAACACCGGCCAGATTTTGGCGTTGGAGACCCAGTTGGACCCCATTGTGACTGCGCTGACCTTGTCCGTTTCTGAGGGCTAGTTTTTGTGAACCTTCTTGGGGGTTGAATTGTAAAATTGCTATTTTATGTTTGTATGTTTTAAGGGCTGATTTTTTTATTAAACGAATATTAATGTAAAAGGGCGTTTGATGTTAAGGCGCTATTAAGAATCAGGATTCCATCATTGCGTGACTTGAAAAGTAAAGTTCCAGAGCTTAGTTGAATGAACAATGGTAGGTGTTTAGTTAGAGACAGGGTTTTGAAAAATGGCCAAAATGAAGAAGAAGTGATAGATTATTAATTGTGATAGTCCCGCTTTGTGTTGGCTCTTTCAACGTGTTTTAAAACTTGAAAAATGTCCCAGTCCGGCTGAAACAATTTCATTTCCGTCTCTAATGACGGACGTGAATTCCCTGCTATTTCCTGTGCATATTAATCGCTCTCCCAAAGCGAATTTGCCCACTCAATTTCCTCCCCTCAGAGGCCGACTTTGCTATTCCTTTCATTGATCGGGGCAGATCTATTACGAAATGATTGATTATGTGCTGATAAAGTCGCAAATAGCGGGCGCGCGCGCTATTTCAATGTCGCGCCAGTGGAAGCTGGGGTTATTTGATCGGCGGCTATTTAGTGGCCTTTAAGAGAAAATTTTTCCGTTCTTATTACAGGCAAGCGTGCATTTATTGCAGCTATGTTTCAGTGGCCAGGGGCTTGTTTGAGTTAATCGCGCATCGTTTTTACTGCGGTTGCAAAACATTTTTGTTGTTTTCTCGAAAGTGTTGGAAAACCTAGTTTTTCAGTAACGAAAATTTTGAACGGTTACGGTAAATCGGGCAGGTTTTCACAATATTCCCCTGCTCTTGGCCGCTACATGGAAGCAACACTTTTACTAGCAACAGTTCGCCTTTGAATCGGCCGCTACTAATTGCCCAAAGTCCAAAAAAATCCAAACAAGAGCTTATAATAGCAGTAGACAAAGCATGTGCGATTTTTCCGGATAGTTGAACAAGTGAATTGTGCGCGTTTGTGCGAGGCGAGCCATTGTTCCATCAAATCAACCCAAGTGTAGGGAAATAGAAAAGTGAAACCATCTGCGCTTTTACTGGCGTCACTAATTGGTCATTTTTCAGGCTTCTCTAAGCACAGAGCACGGGACTTTAAAAGAAAATCGCATCCATTTGCGTTAGTGAGAAAATCGCGTCATTTCCGCGTTATAATGTAATGCGGAAATCTGTGCGGAACAGGGGGCTTTTGGGCAGCGCTGCTCATTAATATGTATCCCCAATTTGAGTCCTACATGTGGTGGAAACACAAACTGAAGCCAAAATACGATGAAACCCAACATGCCGATTTATAAGAAGCACCACTGCGAACGACGATCTGAGTAAGTTTTTCCGAAAATCAAAAAATGGCCTCTTGATTTGACCCTGTATATAACAGTACCAGGGAAAATGAAAAAATTGTATGCAAAAAAACGCCGCTTGGTATTACTGTTCCCATAACTGTTCAACTGATTATTAATTTATTATTTAATTATTATCAAACGAGTGCCACTGCTTGCATTATTCAATAACATTCAGGTACTTAAACTTTGGCTTTCAAGGTAAAACATGACAACAACCCGTTGTTTACCGTTAGCCGCAGATTTACTTCTTCTAAGTAATTGGATTCCGTCAGCGAACTCTTTCTCATACATACAGTGTGCGCTCAAAAGCCATGAAACACTCTCCTTAAATATTTAGGCAATAATTATCAGTGGCTGGGTAATGATGGTAGTCTATTGTTCTAGTGATATTATGGACGATGACTCGGACGACAAAGACTCCAAAAGGTAAAACCCCAATAAAAATCCGAACTTTAATTAATCGTGCCTTTTATGAAGAAAATCCCGGAATCTAAGCGAAAAAAAGCGCCGCGATCAGTTCAACCTTCTGGTGAACGAACTGAGCTCCATGGTGTCGACCAGTAGCCGGAAAATGGATAAATCCACCGTGCTGAAGTCAACGATTTCTTTCTTGAAGAACCACAACGGTAAGTCAGTGACTCAATCAAACGAATGAGTTAAGAACAAGTGTTTTACACTGAAGAAATTGCCGCCCGATCCCGAATCAACGAAATCCAGGAGGACTGGAAACCGACCTTTTTGACCAACGAAGAATTCACCCATTTGGTACTCGAAGCTGCGGATGGCTTTATCATCGTTTTCTCCACCTCTGGGCAAATTCACTACTCTTCCGAAAGCATCACCTCCTTATTGGGTTATTTGCCGGTAAGTAATTCAGTACAGATTTTGATATTCAGAGTTTTAGAGTGAAGTTGTGCCTTTTAAATGAAGTTGCAAGCATCTTTCAATCTTACCTACTTTTACTACACCAAACAAATGTTGCTTCAAAATGATGAAAATGGTTCCCAAATTTTTCTGGAAAACTCAAATTTTCAACGTACTAACTATGAAGATTTGCCTACTCAAAGGAGTTGCTAGCGCTTTTCGATTTAGCGTACTTTGCGCAAAATTACGTTTTGAAAAGCAACTTACACAACTGAAAAAGGAGTTGGAACTCATACCAAAGTTGCTTCACACACACCGATTGTCCCCAGATTTTTTCCAAAAAATAAAGCTTGGCAAGCGCTTTTCGGTCAACTCCAGCTTTCGCAAAATTAAGTTTTGAGAAACATTTGCGTAGCTGAAAAATGTAATGGTTTGCGTGTCAAGTGTTGCATCAGAAGGCTGCCAATATTCGCCAGATTTCTTGGAAAAGTTACACTCCCAGAGCATAGAAAACGAAGCACTGCTCGACTTAGCCTAGCTATTGCACAATGAATTTTTGAAAAAATTCCTGCGCGACTAAGGCAGGCGTTAGGGCGCCAGCAAGACTCGCTTCAACAGCTACCAATGTTTTCCAGAACTTTCTAGAGTTTTAAAGTGAAATCTGGCCCGCTTTTCGGTGAATTAATTTTCGAAGAAACCTCCACCAAGCACGCATTGCACGCTTCTTCACAACCTGTATCATGGGCGATTAAAGGATACGGCATAAAACTGCATAAAATAAACCGTTAAAAGGTGTGCGTTCCACATGCTTGAAGGTTGCATAATTGTATGGTCGTGTCATTGAGACTCGAGGCGACACCGACTCTTCACTTTCCCTTCGAATTCCAGAAGGATATTCTGAAGATGTCCATCCTGGATGTGGTGTGCGAAGAGGACCAGAATGGGCTCTACGGTATTTTGTCCAATTCCGCTGACGATGAAAATCCCGTTTCCTTTTCCTGTCATTTGAAGCGAGCTGGACCGGACGCCGACAGAACCCACTGCGAACTAGTGAACTTTGTCGGCTATTTCAGTAAGTCCTTTTCCATAAACACTACTTGGCATGCTTGCTGATCTGTGCGCAATTTCCCTGATAGGATCAGATGAAGATGTCGTACAAGAAACCGTTGCAAGTAACCTGGATAATGGGTAAGAGTACGAATCAATTGAACCAATCATCACACTTCACTCAATTTGCCAGCAGAATGCTATTTGTTGGCACTGGGAAGCTGCAAACTCCTCTACTCATCAAGGAAATTCCTCTAGTGGACTCCAGCCGGACGGAGTTCACTTCCAGGCACAGTCTGGAGTGGAAATTCCTATTTTTGGACCATCGGGCACCGCCCATAATCGGGTAACCACGCCCCTCCTTTGTTAAGATCCTTTCACTAAAACCTCGTCTTCAGTTATCTGCCCTTTGAGCTTCTCGGGACCTCTGGATACGAGTACTATCACGTCGACGACCTAGACAGCGTGATAAACTGCCATGAGTCCCTAATGCAAAAGGGAGAGGGCACCTCTTGCTACTACCGCTTCCTCACTAAGGGCCAGCAATGGATCTGGCTGCAAACCCGCTTCTACATCACCTACCACCAATGGAACTCCAAGCCGGAGTTCGTGGTTTGCACCCATCGAGTCGTCAGGTACCACCGCTGATGCGGGAACGAACGCCAGTTTTCGAAACCTTGCTTTGCAGTTACCTGGATGTGATCAAGCAGAGTCGACGCAGTCAGGGCATGCCGTCTCCTAGTGAGGAGGCGCAGGACTCTTCTTCCAGTGCTTGGAGAGGCGGCGACAGCTCCAAGGGCCCGGACTCGAAGTGCACGTCTATGTCAGCGGATTCTCCTGCTTCCAGACAATCGGCCATAATGGAAAAATCGGCGGTAAGTTGAGCACACTCAGAAAACCTGCTTCTAAGCCTAAACCTGTTGATGGTTTAGAAGGCCGGAGCGAGTCCGAAGGCGGTTGGCTCAATGCTCTCTTCGCCTCATCAGCCGGAAGACATTCCCCGGCAGGCGCAGCCTCTCCATCTAGCCGCCGCTCAGCTTCAGAACCAGACTCAGTATCTGGACCCTTCCCAATTTGCGGCTTTGCAACCAGTCGCAACCAGTTATCAGCCACAGCCGGTTCTACTGTCTCCTTTATCGGTAAACTTCGTCCGGCCTTCTCCAATTCTTCCAATAATCACACATCAACTTAGGTGGAGAATGTGGTAATTACCCCGGCACCAAACCAGCTCCAAGTGAATTTGCAGCGCAAACAAGCTGAGCTGCAAGCCATCATCGAGCAGCAGCAGCAGGAGCTCAGAAGGGTTTCTGAGCAGCTGTTGATGGCCCGGCTGGGGCTTTTGCAAAACCAACAGAACCAGAACTCGATCAACACGGTGGGTGGCAACGACACAATCTCAAGTTGTGTCTGAGCGCTGGTTCATTGGTTTCCAGGTTCAGCAGTACCCGCAAAACAGCTCGGGAACAGTGAGCAGTACCACGGCTCCCATTCCTGTTCTACCTGGCACGGGTTCCAATACAGCACCAGTGTCGGCACCGATTTCTGTTACAGTGGCGTCCCACCAGTCTAGTGGACTATACAATACTTCCGATTCCAAATAAACAACTATAATTGCTTTGAAAGTGCTGAGGGCCGAAATTGTGACAGTGATAAGGGAGCAGTCTAATAAAACTGCTGTCTATTGGCCATTCAGCCTGTAGATCAATGTGTTCAGTTTGATATATGTGTTATCTCTTAGGTAAACTGTTTATAGATTACTGCCATGTGGTACCTGCATTATTAATTGTTACGAAATAAACGCTATTTTAATCTGAGTTTGAGGGTTCATTTAGCGTAATATATTGTGGTAGCTGTCGATGCACATTTACAGGGTGTTTGTCTCTGACCGCAGTTTATATGTTCATTCCTCTATACCTTTTAATTGTGGCTCCTTTGATTTAAAGACAGAAAACTTCAAACTCAGTGGGATTTTTTTCGGAGCGCCTATTCAATTGAGATGTTTATTTGTTTTGATATTTTTATGATGAAGCTACCGTTTTGACGAAAAAAGGCAGAATGCGGTACAATGCATATAAAAGTTCCTACAAAATCCTAGATTATGTGGCTGGCGCTTGCTCTAACACTTTCTCAATAGTTTTCATTAATCAGTTGAAAATTAGTTGTGACTTTATTTAGAGACACTCTATAGATTGAAGCGCTAGTATTTAGGTTTGTCTGGAGTATCTTGCAATTATGAATGGGATTGTTTGTGTTTCCATGGCTACTCTTTGCTGTTGCCTTGACTACTACTTGTTGTACTACGAAATTCGCTGCTCTCGCTAGTAACAATACACAGTGGCGCAAATAAAATTAGGCGTCTATTTTAATTCCTTTTGAAATTTGTGTTAATGTTTTTTTATGTGATCTCTTAGGTAAACCGTTTGTAGATTAGTGCCATGTCGTTCCTGCATTATTAACAGTTACGAAATAAAAGCTATTTTAATCTGAGTTTGAGGTTTCATTTAGGGGAAAAAATTGTGAAAGCTGTCGAAGTTTAACATGCACATTTACAGGATGTTTGTCTCTAAGAGCAGCTTATGTTCAAGCATTTCTCCGAGCCGTTATGAGAGAATTTAGTCACCTTTTGTGGCTTCCGTGACTTTAAAGACAGAAAACTTCAAAAGCACCCGGAATTTTTTTTGGAGCTGCCATCCTGATAAAAGCCTATCAATTGCGAGATTTTTTTACCAATCAATTGCCACCTATCAATTTGCGAGGAATTGTTTTGTTAAACCTACCGTTTTCGAGAAAAATGGCAAAATGTGGTACAACGTATATAAAAGTTCCGACAAAATCACACTTTTAATCTTCACGACAGGCGTATGCTCTACTCTAAACAAACACTTCCTTCGTTTTCGTTAATCAGTTGAAAAATCTCAAGCCCATTTTATTGCGTTTATTTAGGGACACCCTATAGATTGAAGCGCTATTATTTACGTCTGGAGTATGTTGCAATTAATGAAGGTAATTGTTTGTGTTGCCATGGCTACGTAACGAAACTCGCATGTAACATTATACAGTGGCGCAAATAAAATTAGACGTCAATTTTTGAAAAATTATGAAAATCAGCAACTTCTGAATTTCACTAAACGATTCGGTCTGGTATAAAAAAATGACAAAAACACCTTCCAATTGAAGGTGAAAACCTTCAAAGTCAAATTTTAATTTTTGGGTGCCAGCATGTTACCCAATGAAACTGACCAAGAACCCAAAACAATGAAGGCAAATGAGGGCAATTTACAGTTATATGCACGCGCTAACGCCCCTAGTAGGGACTATTATGGATTAACAATAACCGGATCGTTTGTAAGTGTTAAAGGCGATTTCGTTGGCCACATTCAACCTTTTCGCTTAAACGAATTCTAAATGCTGATCGAAGGATGTTTGCTTAAGATCAATTTGAACATCTGGAAAGTCAGTTACGGTCCCCATACAATGCCCAAACAGCGACACTGCAGTCTTGAGGACTTCCGGGATGACAAAGTCAGCCAGGATGAAATTCGGCGCATTTTCGGAGAGGCAGTTTTTGACTATGTGCTGGGATTGGCGCAAAATCGGCGCAAATTGGAAAACCTGCCCCCCAAGCTTTTTTTGCATATTCTTGGGTTTCTACGCATTGAAGACATTCTGCGCTTGATGTGCTGCTCGAAAATTATATGTGAGGTAGGAAGGATGAAAGGCTGTTGCTGGAATGCCGCTATAGTTGAAGAATTTCAGCTGTGCAACCATGAACACGTGTGGAAACTGATGTTTATGAAAAAGTTTGGAAGGCAACCCTCCAAGGAGGAGAAACTGCTGGCAATTGACAGCTCTTGGAGGGAGGTATTCAAGCGACGCCTCCTGTACGTTAGGAAAGCGCTTAGAGACAGTGCGGAGCTGAAAATTAAAACTAAACTAAACCTAAAGGGAAAAAGGGCTTAATATAGAATCGATCGCAGCAAAACCCAATGTTCTTCGTTAACGTCTATTGATGAACGTTGTGAAAGAAGAGTCGTTAATTGCGCTTCTAGGCCTTCTCGCAACACGCACCACTATACCATGACGTAACCCGTCACTGTTTTTACATTTCAATTCAAAAATAGAATTAAGAACACAACTAAAGGTATACTTCGATTTGACCATGAACTATAAAAGTCGGTTATGTAACAGCCATGGCGTTACGACAGGCCCATTCGGTGCACTTACGTTAAATTCGTTGTTACCTAAGCCAAAAACGTAACTCTGTAATTCGTCGACCTGGTCGCTATACAATATTGCGAATAATATGGATTTCGTAAATGCCTGTTGGGTACTTACTTGCAATAGGCTCGATTGACTCTACCAATCCGAATTAGATTGCGATTTTCTTTTTGAGCACGATTTTGATCAGTCCCTGTAGGTTTGCTGGGTTTTGGGGGGTTGACTGTTTACAAATGCCATGTTGAAAACGCAAAAATTTACAATTTTCCCCCAAGGCCGGCAATTGATATCACTTAACACATTCAACATTTGCGGAAATAGCGCTAATTTCCATCTTAATTGGATCTGACGTTTCACAAATTATATATAGCCTTCGATGTGTCAAATTTATTTGGATGTATCCAGCTGGGTTGCTATAGGAACAACATCTGATTCCATAGCGCACTGTACAGGGTGTCCCTCAGTACCGAAACGTTTAAACATTTAAAATAAGCAAGTTGTTACCTACTTATAATACCTAAGATAATTTAGATCGCTTGCCCTCGGTGACTGGTATTCTGGGCAATTTGTCTAATTAAAATTTGCCGCGGTCAGGTCCTAGTATATCAGTCGCGGTGGGTCCTAGTGAAAACACCCTGTACAATGAGCGTGAAATGAAAAACTGTTCCTATAGCAACCCAGCTACATATATCTGAATAAAGTGCTATCATTTGTGACATGTCAAAGTCAAATAAGATGCAATTTTCTCAAATATTGTGTGTAGGCTTCACCGTTTTTTAACCACTTTTTGCATCACAAAGAGCGCATTTGTAAGTAGTCAACCACCAAAGCGCCGAACCGACAGAGATTGATCAAAATCGTGCTCAAAATGATTTTAGATCGCCTCTATCGCAATCTAATTCCGATAGAGGCATATTTATAGAACCGATTGAACTGAAACTTCTCAGTTTTGTTAATCAATCCAAGTTTCACAGTTGATGTGAAATTCTGCAGGCGTCGGCATCGCTACTTATCATCGCGTTTCATAACAGTTATCCGCCAGTTTTTCACAACGATCATAGATGCCACTAGCGACTAGTCTGTACCGTGAGTTTTAATCGAGTTTTCCCCCCACGATTGGCGTCTCAAATCCACAGTTCTCGACAAGTGCCGCGACGCTCAGCACGGACGCCCGATCCGACGTCTTGTGTTACATGTGCTTGCAAACGGTGACGTAATAGTTTACATAACAATACAGTAAATAGTGGTTATTTAATGGAGTTTTCCATGTGGATACAGTGATTTTGGATACGGTTTTCTCATTGTGCACCTGAACGGCATTTAGATTGGCGCTGAACTCACTGTGAGTGTAAGTTTACTCCCATTTTCGATTTGATCCCGTCTAGAATTACGTAAACATTACGTCTTGTGTACGAGAAGCGATCCTTGAATCCACTGTGAATGCAGTGAAAGGGATTTGGGCACCTATAGGAGGATGTAGAAGGCCAATTTGCATCCTCACATGCCTTATTTTCGTTCCCTGCAAAGCCCTTACGCAATTAACCCCATTCACGCGAAATCCAAGATTCTCCTCACTGTTTTGTGCACTTGGAATAGTCGATGAGTAACATGATTAATGAGTGTTTTGTACAAGGAATATACTAGTTAAATCGCCTGGGAATTGAATCACTTTATTGAACTTGTTGATTGTCATGCTATACGATCGACCATTAAACGCGTTATTGCGATCAATGTTTACAAAATTTGTTAAAAATCAGGATTTAATGCAAATTGAATGAAACTCCAAATTTTCAGATTCATGTGTCTTCTATAGATTGTGCAAATTTTAATTCGCTTCTTGTTCTAAATCGAAAATCAGAAAATTTTATGGAACAGTCTGCGCTTGCGTGAAAACGTTCATTTTTGGACCAACATTTACAAAAATCTCAAAAAGCAGCATTTTCTGCGAATTGAATAAAATTAGGCATATTGTTGATGAGTGTGTTTGCTATGGTTTGTGGAAATTTCAAGTCGCTACTTGATCTGGATCGGAAGTTCTGAATTTTTGTTGGAGAGTCTGCAGATGCGTAAAAACGTTAATTTTTGGATCAGTCTTTACAAAGGGCGCAAAACTGAATAAAATAAAATTTTCCAGATTACGAAATCTATGTATCTTTTATGGACTATGGTAAATTTCAAGTTGCTACCAGTTCTAGATTAAAAGTTAGAATGTTTATGGGCAGTTGCGTAAAAGTGTTCAGTTTTGAACCAATATTTACAGAGGGCTCAAAAAGCAGAACTTCCTGCAAATTGAATAAATTACGGAAAATTTGTAGATCCATGCGTGTTCTAAAGATTGTGTAAATTTCAAGTCGCTGCTTATTTTAGATGGGAAGTTAGGAACTTTTGTTGCAGAGTGTGCAGATGCGAAAAACGTCCATTTTTTCATCAGTCTTTACAAAGGGCTCAAAACTCAAAAATTGCCGTAAATTGAATGGAATTTTCCACATTATGAGATTCATGTGTCTTTTATAGACCGTGCTAATTTCAAGTCACTACTTGCCCTAGATTGCAAGTTAGAAATTTTTATTGGAGAGTCTGCATTTCTGCATTGCACTCTCCCTGCAGACTTTTTGCAAAAACTGAAATTTTTGGACCACCATTTACAAAGGGCGCAAAAATTAGGACTTTCTGCAAATTGAATAAAATTAGGAAAATTTGGAGACCCATGCGTGCTCCAAAGATTGAGAAATTTTCAAGTCGCTGCTTTTGTTAGATTGGAAGCTGGAAATTTTTGTTGGAGAGCCTGCAGATGCGTAAACGTTCATTTTTGGATCAATCTTCACAAAGGGCACAAATATGCAAATTTGTCGCAAATTGAATGAAATTTTTCACGTTCTGAGACTGATGTGTCTTCTATATTTTGTGAAAGATTCAAGTCGCTGCTTCTTTTAGATTGGAAGTTAGGATTTTTTGTTGGAGAGCCTGCAGATGCGCAAAACGTTCATTTTTGGATCAATCTTCACAAAGGGCACAAAAACGCAAAATTTGTCGCAAATTGAATGAAATTTTTCATATTCTGAGATTCATGCCTCTACTGTATTTTGTGCAAATTTCAAGTCGCTACTTGTTCCGTATTCGAAGTTACGATTTTTTATTGGAGAGCCTACAATTGCTCATCTTTAAACCAACATTTATAAACCGAGCAAAAATCAGCATTTGTCGCGATTGATACAAAATTATCAGGATTCTCAGTCTTCAAGAGAGTCAATTGTCTTCTAGAGATTGTCAAAATTTCAAGTTGCTACCTGCTGTAGAAGAGAAGATACGAATTTTTACGTAGCGTAAGACAAGAATTTTCTCTGCTCAGCAATTCTAGCTCTAAAAAGAACCTCTTGTCCTTGCAGGATCTGCACCATGGACCATCCAACCAAAAAGGACAATACCATGATGGACTGTGGGCGCCAATTGAAAAAAATTCCAGAAAGTACCAAGAAGCGAGTGAATAGTGTCCAGACGACTATTCTAAGTGCCATCAGCAACAAAGAATTGAACTTATTCCTGTGCATTGTGTGCGGTAACATTTTGAGACAACCTGTGACTGTTAAGTGCGGCCACACTCTATGCATGTCATGTCTGGATAAAATGCCGGAGAAATGCAGGAAATGTTCCCAAGATGTGGAAGAAGAACAGTTCAGGGTGAACGTTTTGGTTCAGGGTCTGATCGAAAAATGGACGGAAAGGAATAAGCTGAATAATACTGGTGAGATCCTGTTGTTAATTGGCATTCTTGAGCTCCATTAGCCAGCTAAGCTACGTACCGTTGAACTTGTACCAAAAATAATCCCCGCCCGCTTATAAATAGCAATCAGTTGGACTTTTTCGAATTCCTCATCTGAAAATATCCGCACAACAAAAACAAACGGTTTGATTAGTCTGAAAACCGAAAATAAACCACTTTGAAATCAAGGTAGAGTTCAATGTCAAGAGCGAACTTTCTCTGTCGACAAAGTGAAATCGATTTAAAAATAAACCAACATTGGCTATTTAGACAGGCTTAATGATAATAGCATCTGCAGGACTTRKATTCATTCGGCTACACAATAAATTAGCAGTTTTTTGGGGGGTACTAATAAATCATTTTTTTAATTTTTCATAAATCTCGCAAAAATTACCCGCTGTGAATGAAATTCTCAGGCTTTTTGTATTCGAGTGTCGTCTACGGACTGTRGAAATTTCAAGTTGCTACTTGTTCTGGATTGGAAGTGGGGAATTTTKATTGGCGAGCGTGCAGTTGCGTARAAGCTTCATTTTTAGACCAACATATGCAAAGGGTCAAMAATTTTCAAGGGATTTTTTGCAAATAAAATGAAATTCGCCGGAGTTTGAGATTCATGCGTCTTCTAGAGACTACGTAAATTTCAAGTCAATACCTGTTCCAGATTGGAAGTTAGAAATTTTTATTGACGAGCAGTTGCGTAAAAGCGTTCATTTTTCGAACGATATTTACAAAGGGCGAAAAAATCAGGATTTTTTGCAAATGAAATAAAATTCGGCAGAGTTTTATATTCATGTGTCTTCTAGAGACTACGATAATTTTAAGTCAATACCTGTTCCAGATTGGAAGTTAAAAATTTTTATTGGTGAGCGTGCAGTTTCGTAAAAGCGTTTATTTTTGGACCAATATTTAAAAAGGGCGAAAAAATCAGGATTTGTTGCAAATTTAATGACATTGGGATTTTTTGCAAATAAAATGAAATTCGCCAGAGTTTGAGATTCATGTGTCTTCTAGAGACTACTTAAATTTCAAGTCAATACCTGTTCCAGATTCGAAGTTATAAATTTCATTTTTGGACCAACATTCGCAAAAGGCAAAAAACTCAGCTTTTATTACAAATTAAATTAGTTTTGCCAGATTTGGAGACTCATGTAAATCCTATAGACTCCGTAAATTTCAAGTTGTTAGCTGTTTCATTGAAAGTTAGGAATTTTTATAAAAGAGCGTGCAGTTGCGTTAAAACCTTAATTTTTGGACCAATATTTGAACCGATCCGAAAAATCAGGCTGAACAGCGAATTGAATAAAAAACGCAAAATTCTGAGAACCGTGTATCTTCTAGGGACTGTGCAAATTTCAAGTCGCTGCTCTGTCTGGGTTAAAAGATATGAATTTTTAACGAAGACCTTGCCAAAGCGCGAAAACGTTCCATTCGAATGCAGCATTTGAGCAATATCGGCGCGTATGGGATAACATTTGAAACCGAAATCGAAAATCATTGCACAAAATGGTTTAATTGAATTAAATAGTCGCACCGACAATTATTATGAAAATATTATAAATCGGTACTACTTTCAACTCAGTCCTTGTGCTCGTTTTGCAATGAGGTTTGCCTTCTTTTTCCACGTGTATTTATTTATTGATAGGCATTTGCAACGGTTTTGGTTTATTTCGTTGTTTTTTTTTGTTGGTTGTTGTCCCCCCGAACTCGAGCCGATTTGTTCAAACAATTATTTAACAACGATTGTTTTGGTCTGCAAACCAGTGAGCGAAAAAAAACGACGGCAATTCGGTTGGACGGTGGGCAGCGAAATGTATGCATAAAATCGAGTGTATTGCAACACAGTGCAACATTTTTTCAATCCCGTTAAGTAATAATGAATGTTGATTAAGGCAATAATTCCGTTATAGTTGGCAGTAAATGCTGCGAAACATTCCGCAGGCAGAATCAACGGTAAACAATGAAACAGTTAGACCAGCAGTAGAATTGCAGTTTACTGCTAGAAGCATTGAAAAAATCCCAAAAAACATCTCGTTCTTCAAGTTCTTCAACTGTCTCGTTTTGCATTGATAATAGTATTCCTGCCTGTCTGACTTAAGTACCTACCACGTATTCTATACGCTTTTCTAAGAAAGGCCCGAATCATGTAATGATCAAATTATTAATCACTTGATATTGTGTTACATTTTCAATCTATTACATAATCAAACAAACGAGGTTGCTCTGATATAAGCCCGAGTCGACTATTACGGGTTTTGCGTATGCCTTAACAATGGACTTACATAATCCCGAGGCAAGTACATGTACTACATGTTTGTACCAGTGAATAATTGTGTAATACATAGAATATAACGCCGATTTATTATGTATTGTTGTACAGCTAAGAGACCAGAACAAAGACGGGGATTAATTGAGAGCAATTTTCAACGATTGGAGTCCTCAATGCTTCTTTGGGCATTCGCTCAAAAATGATTCGCTTGCCTTGAACTAATAAATTTTTTCTTCTTTTCTAGACACACCGGTGGTTATTTTGGTACTACACCCGAGATACGTGTTGAGGTCCGGATGCGCAGGATTTCAATACACTGTGGACATTAGCAGGAAGATTTCGACGAAATGGAAAAAATCACAGGTAGGCTAAGGGTTCCTAAATCAAGGCAAGGCTACTACATGCGCGATTTGAATGCAATTCTGCAGGTTTTTGAATTTGAATATCTTGTATAGGCTGCGAAAATGTGAAGTTGTTAGTTGCGTTTAATTAAGAAACATATATACAAAAGTTATAACAAAAGTTATAACTTTCTAACGATGCGCCTGTAGTTCCGTCGAAAAGTCCACATTTAGATCAAAATTCACAAAGAGCGCAAAGCTGAGAATTGCGTGTGATTTGAATAAAACTTTGAAGGTTTTTAGAATGAAGTATTTTCTATAGGCGCAGAAATTTTCAAGTTGCTGCTTCCATTAAATCGAAAATTATAAATTTTTAATAAAACGCCTGCAGTTGTGTCGGCAAGCTCACTTTTAGACTAAAGTTTATAAACCGCGCAAAACTTAGACTTTTGTGCGATTGAAATGAAATTCTAAGGGATTTTAGATTCGGGTCTTTCCTACAGACGGAGAAAATTTTAAATTACTGCTTGCATTAAATTGAAAATTATGAATTTTTAAATAAGAGCCTGCGGTTGTGTCGAAACGCTGTTTTAGCTTAGAGTTCAGAAGGTGCGGAAAACTCAGAACTTCGTGTGGCTTGAATTAAATTCGGAGAACTTTTAGATTCGGGTCCTTTCTACAGACGCAGAAAATTTCAAGTTGCTGTTTGATATAAATCGGCCATTATCAATTTTTAATAAGAAGCCTGCAGTTGTGGTGTCAAGCTCACTTTTACACGGAAGTTCACAAAGAGGGAAAAACTTAGTTTCGTGCGATTTAAATGAAATTCTAGGGGATTTTAGATTCGGGTCTTTCCTACAGATGCATGAAATTTCAAGTTGCTGCTTGCATTAAATTGCAAATTATGAAGTTTTTCATAAGATCCTGCAGTTGCATCGAAGCGCTCAGTTTTAGCTCAGAGTTCAGAAGGAGCGAAAAGTCAGAATTTTGTGCGATTTGAATGAATGAATGCTTTTAGATTCGCGTCCTTTTTACAGACGCAGAAATTTTCAAGTTGCTGCTTGCACTAATTTAAAAATTGTGATTTTTTAACGAAGAGCTGCCCACTCACAGCTCACTTTTAGACTAAATTTCATAAAGAGCGCAAAACTCAGAATTTTGTGCGATTTCAATAAGACTCTGAGGCTTTGTATAATCGGGCCTTTCCTACAGATGCAAAATTCAGGGTGCGGCTTGCACTGATTTGGAAACTATGAGTTTTTTGCAAGGAGCCTGCAGTTGCGTCTAACAGCTCCCTTTTAGGCTAAAGTTCACAAAGAGCGCAAAACTTAGAACTTAGTGCGATTTGAAACAAATTCTTCAAGGTTTTTACATTCAAGTCTGTTTTACAGGTAGATTGCCAGTAATAGTTTTGATGAAGAACCTGCAGTTTTGTCCAAGAGCCCACTTTTAAACCAACATTTACATTGAACGCAAAAATCAGCATCTGCAGCGAATTGACTGAAAATATGCGATTTCTTAGGGTCGAGTGTCTTTCATAGACTGTGAAAGTTTGAAGTTGCCACTCGCTCTAGGTTTGAAGTAGCGAATTTTAACTGAGGCGCCCGTAGTTGCGTGAAAAGTGTGAAAACCTTCATTTTCAGACCAACAATATCTGGTGCGATTTGAATGCAGTTTTGAGGGTTTCAAGATTAATGTGTCTTTTATGGGTCGTGAAAATTTCAAGGGCCTACACTGGTCCCAAACAGGAACCTAGAAATGTTTAGTGACTAGTGTGTACACTGCAAGAAAATACCCAAAAAACCTTCAAATCTTTCAGAGTAAAAAATAAGATAAAATATATATATTTATATAAACATGTAATTTACGAGGGCATATTTTCCAGATATTCGACTTGAACCACCCAAAACGACAGATTTACCGCAAACTGAGCTACCGCCGAAAACCCACCAAACACCCGGCGAAAACCCGCAAGGAAAATCAACGGAACAGCGACTCATTCGGCAAAATGTTAGATAATATGTTGATCGAATTGGAAATGACTGTCGGTAAGCAAATAAAACTCGGTTATGCAACGCATTTAGCGCACTGATAAATAAACAGACGATAACAATGTTATCGTGTCTCATCCAACTTGTGTTTATATGGCCTAAAGGATTTTTTTGGTGACTGCAGAAAAAGCCCTGAGGGACAGCTGGGAGTGCATATCGGAGGAGGATTTGGAGTGTTTGCTTTGTAGACGGTGTCTAGCTGATCCAGTCACCACTCCATGTGGCCACACCTTTTGCAGGTATTTGCACTTAAAAATAACTTCCATAAAGTTGATTAACTCTGGAACTGTCTGTTCCAGGGACTGTCTGACGAGGGTGTTAGACCACCGATTGACCTGCCCTCTATGTGTCTCCAAATTATCAGTCGGGGACTATTTCCGGGGAACCACTGCAGTCCTGGACCAAGCCACTCAGTTCCTTTTTCCCAAAAAGCGCCCCCATCAGCAGTGCGGCAGCGACGAACACTCTTCAGACAATGTGAGTCCCCCGAACCTGTTGACCAGTTGAGGATTCATTGCTTCCATTTGCAACAGGTTTCAGTATTTGTGTGTACCAATGCATTCCCAGGGGTGGCGTGTCCGCTCTACGTCAATGAGCCCCGTTATCGGCTGTTGGTGCGACGATGTTTAGAAAGTCGCAGCAAAACGTTCGCCATGACCAGCCTGGACCCCAGTGGTGCCAAGCTGATGCAATATGGAACCATTCTGGAGGTGAAGGACGCTATTAGTCTGCAGGATGGGCGCATTATCTTGTCCACTCAAGGGATTCGGCGCTTCAAGGTGATCAGTCGGGATGAGAAGGTTTGTTCTGGAAATTCGCCCCAGTTCCGAAAATCCTAAGTTGAGCTTTCCAGGATGGCTACGACACTGCCAAGGTGGAGCACATCTACGACATCACTCCCACTCCAGAGCGGATTTCCGGTCTGGTTTCGCTGCACAGAAAAGTCTACACGCGCGCCGTCCGATGGATCCACTTGCTGTCGCCTGCCGCCCTTTCTGAGGTGGAACGACTGATCGGAAAAATGCCGCAGATCGAAACCGATTGGCTCACTCTCCCTGACGGCCCGTCCTGGACTTGGTGGCTGATCCCCATTCTACCGCTGAGCGCTCAGCTTCAGGTACTACCTGCGCTTTACTCAAATCCTCCACTAATCCACTGTGGTTTCTCAGGTGGGATTTCTGAGCAGCACCAGCTTGGAGAAGCGGCTCAGGGCCATTGATAAGATGCTGGAACACATGAAGGTCCGAATGCAGGCTGAGCCGCGCAAGGACTCAGTTACCTACACGGCCAACGATGATGGCATGGTGTTTTGCAGCGAATAATTCGCGCGATGAACCAAGTTTTTTATTTTCACACTTTTTAACTTATTTTTGTATCAATAAATTTGCCATTTTACTATCAGTGTTTTATTTGTTCACATTGTCACTGTGTTGGAGAACCAATCAAGCCTGGCAAAAAATTCCGCAAATACATTCTAAGTGCCACACTTCAGCTGAGGCCCCATTCTGCATTTTTAACCATTAATCCTCAAAAGGCCCACACTACACATTGCACACAATGAAGATCTACTCCAAATTGAACACTTTAATCATGTAGTTAACAGGCAGAATAATCTATCGCACTAAATCACTGGATATTCCGGTAAGACACAAACGACCGACGTTCTGTTTCCTTCGTAGCTCGTAACAAACTGAAGATTTATTCGCCTTTTTGATACAATAATTAGGTTTTTATCTCATTCCGAACGCATCGAGCTACAGAGCGAACATAATGATATAATCATTTGCTAGAGAGCCCTTTGGATGAATCATCGCTCTTACTTTGCACTTCGATTTCAGTTTGTTTATTGTTGACACTTTTTTAGAAAGTGCCTGTTCGCACGGCAATATTTTCCAGAACAAGTTTCCTGTTCCAACTTGATTGCATGATTGCCGTAATCAAAGCGGTTTTCTCTGCGGCCAAAGATGAGACGCACTAAAAAATTTTATGCTGCTTTAAATGCTCTCGAATCAGTCTTTTGCTCGATTTTTATTAAACTTTGCACTTTTGCAACCTGATTTCTCATGTAAAGGCTGTCTAAATTTCAAATCCACATTCAATCCAGGTCATAATTTGTGAACGATTTTCTCTGCTCGGACATGAAGAGCGATGAAATACTAAACTTGATTTCAACACCAGCTCTTGCATGAATCTTTTGCTAGTTTTTAGGAGATTTCAGTCTTCTGCTGCTTCATGTGCTATTAAAGGCTCTCTAAATTTCAAATCCACATTCAATACTGGTCATGATTAGTGACGCTTTCCTCTGCTCGCGTCATTAACAGCGACGGAACACTTGTTGATTTTTACACGACCCTCAAAAGACTCATCTGCTGGAGCCTTTTGCCAGACATTTTTGAACCGTTCAACCTTAACAGCTTGATATTAAAATAAAGTAGATTTTATTTGCTTATTACAAGCTTTTACAGATGCAAAAGAACAATCTTTTGGGTCTTGTTATTAAGACAGTAGCGACTAATCCCTGTTGTTCAATTGTTGATTACGTGATTACAAAATAACACTCTTCACTCTTATCTCTCAAGTGGCCACTCTGGCCACCTGATAAGAAGTGATGATTCTAAATAAAAAGGAGTAGGTACTTCCTTTTACTTGACAGTATCCCGAATTAATCGGCTGCATTTGGAAGCTTCAGCATGTGGAAGTTTGTGGCCTTTGTGGCCTTTATTGCAAGGTAAGACTCTTCCATGGTGGTTTCAGCTTAGGCGTAAAATAGCATTTAATTAAAAAAACTGACGAATCTAACCCAATTAGCGTCACCTGCGAGGACGTTGCCCTAAGCAACAGGTATTTTCCGGATAATTTCAAATTCGGCGCAGCCACTGCCTCCTACCAGATCGAGGGCGCTTGGAACGAGGATGGCAAGGGCGAGCAGCTTTGGGACTGGTAAGCACTCCGAAGATTACCCGCGCCATTGGTGCAGATCGTCCAGCCCCAACACAACTCCCGTTATTAAACCGCATGAGTTTCCGTAGAAACGCCTTTGTTTACCCGCTTCTGCATTGTGTTCTAATGGGCGACGACTGTCTGCACCACGCATTGCACTTCGGTTAAACTTTTCGACTACCTCGCACAGGTACACCCATACATACCCAGACAAAATAAGGAACGAGAACAACGGGGACATCGCGTGTGATTCCTACCACAAGTGGCGGGAGGACATTGAACTGCTGAAGGAACTGGGTGTGAACCACTACAGACTGTCGCTGTCTTGGAGCAGGATTTTGCCCAATGGTACCGTCTACAATATCAACCAAAACGGCGTCAACTACTACACAAAGATTCTTGAGGTAAAACACACCCTATTCAGTTAAGGACCACTGCAACTGGCTTCTTATCAGACTCTTCGCGCTAATAACATCGAACCATTGGTTACGCTGTACCATTGGGACCTGCCGGTGGTGTTCCACGAGATGGGCGGCTGGTTGAACCCCAAAATCGCCGATTATTTCGCCGACTTTGCCCGACTCAGTTTCCAGCTGTTTGGCCGGTATGTCAAAACGTGGATTACCATCAACGAGCCACAAACCACCTGCGTTCAAGTACGTACAATTCATCAAAGTCGCCCTGGAGTTGGTAGAGAAAAACTTGTCGTTGTCCCTAGGGGTATGGAACTGGAGGAAAAGCCCCTGGATACGTCCACAGCGGGGACGGGGTCTACCAATGTGCTTACACCAACATTCTGGCCCACGCCAAAGCTTACCATATATACGACGAAGAATTTCGGGCCACCCAAAATGGTAAGTTCGCAAGTTTCATATACGCACATAACTTGGAAAACCGCCCTTAGGAAGAGTGTCCATTGTGCTGGACAGCGCGTGGGCTGAACCGGGCAGCTCCGAACTGGAAGACGAAGAAGCCGCGCGAACAGCAATGGCTTTCAGTGTAAGAGACGATACGGGTTATATTAATTGAAGTAAAACCCAACTGGGGTTGATCCTCTAGATGGGCTTGTATGCTAATCCTATCTACAACGGAAACTGGCCCCAAGTGGTGATCGACCGCGTAGGCAACCGGAGTCTGAACGAGGGCCTCCCTAGATCGCGCCTCCCTCAGTTGACTCCGGAGGAAATTGAGTATATCAAAGGCACTTCGGATTTCTTCTGCCTTAACACGTAAGAAACAACCAGGCAAAAATTGCACTGCCCAAACCCAAACCCTCTCTAAGGTATGGCACGTACTACGCCCAATACCAAAACGAAGTGAACGAGAGCATAGGAGACCCCAACTACTACTCAGACATCGGAATTCACACCTATTCAGATCCCGAATGGGAGGCAGTGATCGACTGGGTATCGCTGGTGCCGTGGGGCTTCAGAAGCCTGCTCAACTTCGTCTGGACTGAGTACGATGGAGTGGAGGAGATCGTGGTGACCGAAAACGGCTGGGCTGATGTAGAGACCATCTTGGAAGACACTCAGCGGATCAACTACGTGAGCGTAAGCGTCGAACTACCCTCATAGAGGCGGGCACAACAATAATGCGCAAATTCACAGCAATACCTCAGCGCCCTCTTGGACGCCTACTACGAGGACGGCGTGAATGTAACCGGATACACGGTGTGGAGTCTGCTGGATAACTTCGAGTGGACGAATGGATACACGTAAAGTCCTCTCAGGATATAAAAGCGGGGTTTCCAGCTCAGATGTGGGGGTTTTTCAGGCAAAAACTGGGCATTGTTCATGTGGACTTTGACGATGAGGAGCGAAGGAGGACGCCGAAGAGCAGCTACAGCTGGTACAAAAGGGTCTTGGCCAACAGGTGCTTGGTCGAAGAATGCGTCCGGGAGTGAGGAACGCAAACCTTATAAAGGATCCAGCTGTTTTCAATAAATACCTTACTCAATTTGGGTTTTCTTCTCCTTGAAAATGAGTCATCAGCGACGTTATTTATAGGGGATGTATAACCCGCGCTGGATATATTATGACAGATTCAATCCGTTGTTTTATTAATTTGCTGCAAATTGCTGATAATTAATTTAGCCATGATGGATGGACGCGATAGGATGAAACAACAATAAAAGCCGCCCCATTATCGCTAGCCATCCATTATCTGGGTGCCAGTTGAGGCAACATGTTCCATTTTCTTGCTCTGGGTGTGTTCTTTGCCGCTTTTGGTAAGGGTTTACGTGTGATGGACAAAACCGCACATTGCTAAGACAAGTTTTCCTTTAGTGGCTCTTGATGCTCAACAGTGCTACCGGTGCTTTGGCAGGCATTGGTGTAACGATGTTGCCCATCCAGATTTTGAGTCCAATGTCACTATAATGAATTGTCCGGCAACAGCTGCAAAGTTTTCCTATGAGGGTGACAGTCCCACGATTGCAAAATTCATCCACAGTCTGGAACGGTTATCGACCAGCTCTGGAGGAGAGGAAGGATTGAGCGAGACGACTTGGGGTTGCGTCACCGCAACAATACATGAAGGTGATAGTAACTTTTTTAACGAGAAAGAGTGGGAATGAAATGACTGATTGAACGTGCGCAATTATTGGCTTCATTAGTCACAGCTCCCAAACCTTCTAACCTCTAAAGCCATAGAAGCAGAAACGTGAACACTCAAGGCTCAAGGGTAAAGCACTTTAGATCTCAGAAACCGGTGGAAACAGCCAGTCAATCGTTAGGAGCTTTCCGATAAGGCGCTTCAAAGCCTATTTTTTCCTCCTCTGAGCTATAATGCAAATTTCCTAACTTCCACCGAGATAGATCAAGATTCGGATAAATTTCTGCTCATTTTGATCTAAATTCGTACACGGTTGACAATTATAACATTTTTTAATACAGTGTCTTGAGCCACCTTGCCCTATGAAAGATCCCTAACCTCTAAAGCGATAGAAGCACAATTTACTTGGATTTTTGAGCGCATTTTCCAATAACTAAGAAAAGTGCATACTTAGCAGTAATGATCTATCAACGGTTAGGAGGTTCCCAAAAGCGATCAATTCAACACTGATATGGCAATAAATTAACAATAAAACTGTACTTACCTGACTTAAAAATTGATTGGTTCCATTCGGGAGGCCTAACGCCCAATCAATCAAGTGCGAAATGGCAGCCAGATGTTCCACTGATCTCCTCCAAATTCCACTTTCAGCTCACGAAGTCCACACGATCCGCACCTGTCTCAATAACGCCGAAACTATATGTCCAGTAGTCCAGACCGTTGTCCTCAATCCCGACCTGAACGACGTGCCAGATGAAGTGGAACTGGATTGTGGAGGATGCATTGGCATGCTATGCAATGACCATAGTTTTGCCGCTCCGGATGCACCATCTACGTCTAGTACTGCGAGTCCTGAGACTACGAGTTCTTCTACTGCTACTCCTGATAGCACAACATCTTCCACAACCACTCCAACTCCGGAAACTTCCACTTCTACTACCACTACTGGCGGTCCTGATGGGACTACATCTTCTCCAACGGTTCCAAGCTCAAGCTCCACTACCCCTACCACTCCGGAAAGTACGACAACTTCAGCAACCACTCCAAGTCCCGAAACTTCCACTTCTACTACCACTACTGGCGGTTCTGATGGTACTACATCTTCTCCAACGGTTTCAAGCTCAAGCTCCACTACTCCTACCACTCCGGAAGCCACTTCAAATCCCGAGGCAACTAGTTCAACTTCAACAACTGCCTCCCCAGACAGTTCTACAACTACTACAACCGAATCCACTACAACCGAAGTTAGCACCTCCACTACCACCACAACACCAGGAACTTCTAGTACAACTTCCGAAGTTCCGGACACAACCGAAAATGCCCCTGAAACCACTACAACTGGCTCGGTGCAGGCCCCCAAAGGCTCTTATGGGTTGTTAATGCTGACACTTTGCATAGAATGGATTAGATACGTTAGGGCTTAGTTGTGAATACACTTACATGTTATGGCAATTCGTTGGTCATCTCACAAGTAGATTAAGGCGTGAAAACCGCAAGTTTACCTCAAATCTAACGCTTTTGGTTGACATAACGCAAGAATAAATCACATCCTGACAGTACTGGATTTTTAATCTGTCACTTTCAAAAATTTGCAAGTTTTGTCAAGTGAGTGATAAAGAAGAGTGGTTTTGTGATAAAACGTGAGTTTATATTTTCCATCAGTGAAGGAGAAGAGGCGCAAAGGCCGAAATTACTGTTTTGCGCTTGGTATCTCACAGACTGTAGCAGGTATCTTGAGTTAGAGAAAAAACATAACCTTTTTTTGATACAACTGCATTCTAACGCATAATCAAAAATATTAGCTAAAGAATAAAATGCATTCTATTCTATGGCCACTATGGAGCGTGACTTGTTTTGCCCATTTTTTAAATTCATGCGCCACCGACATTTATTGCCCCAATAAACTGCCGGATTACAGCAGGTTTCAACAATAGATGGATGGCTTCGAGTGTTTTAATTTATAGTGCGGATCAAAAGATGAGTATTCTCTCTAATCCAAGTGAAAATCTTTTGGAGATCAGACAGCCTGAGGTGTCAAAGAGTAATATATGAGGGTGGCGACAAAGCAAGCAAAGCGTATTTTTAGATAACGCGCTAAAGATCAATAAAATTAAAATAATTTGGAGGAAATGAGGAAAACTCTCAAACGCATTTTTTGCGTAAAGTAATCGAGTTACAAGCTGTTTAAGCACTGTCATTGAGACAGGTTAGTTTGTTGTTCGGTGATGCGTGCACGTCATTCGCTCTGTGAACTTTGCGAAAAATCTTGGAAATTTTTAGAGTTTGTGCGAAAAACTGTGGATTATCTGAAAGTGGAACCTTCTCTTAACAGTTTTGCGGTATTTTCCAGGTCGGTAGTGCGATTTTAACGTGACAATGTGATTTTTTAATGTGGCAAGTTACTGACGTTTGCTGTCAGGTCCAGCGACTTTTCCACTTTTTTGGCAATTTTGAAGTACTATTGACCTGCTTAATGGTAAGTGTTTGCTTACCGTAATTCACCCGCACTTTCCAGATCCTTCCGTGATTGGTAGGTCTTAATAAGTAGACAAACAGGAAAACCCCCATTAGTGTTAATTTAATGTGTAAAATTAGTGTAAAAAAGAGAGAATGTGGAAGTAGGTACCTAAATAAGTTAATAATACTGCACAAGTAATACTGGCCAATTGCATAATGAATCGTGAACAAACGAATGATCTAAAGACTAAAAACATTAATAATGATTAAGTGGCCTGTCCAAGCCTTTTTCACTGTGGACAGCTTCGAACAGTTACCATAAGCGAGCGCCATAGACTGGCAATGACTAGATTATTTATATTAATTAAGGCAAATTAACAAAAGCCGCAATTCCTACTTAGAGACTAATGGCTGGAATTGTTATAAATGGTGTTTACGATTGCTGGCAACGCACACTAAAAGCTACACACTTACACACACTTCCATCCGCGCTTAAGCACATGTAAAATCACATTCAGAATACCATGTTGTACAGGCCAGTACGGTTAATTTCGTATCAAAACAGCCAGGTTTGGTTCTTCAGAGAGCATGCCGCAGGTTAAAAAGCCAACCACACGAAAACAATTAGTTGCTAACTCTATAGCAGGAAAAGGCGAAAATGCGTCACAGCTATGATTAAGAATGCCCCGCGAAATTGATCAATTGAGCGACTGGAAGGTGGGTGTTGGGTTCCAGAGTTCCCTATCTGGGTACTTGGTTTGGTTTCCTCATTTTCCTCTATTGAAAAGTCCCCTTTGGGTGTATTTGGCTTGATAGGATTTTCAATCTCATTCTCACTCTCACTCTTCCTCCCGCTGCCCTCAATGTTTTTGGCTGGAAGTTAAAAAAAGACACTTAAATCGAGTATTCATTTTTTAAACTTACCCTCACCTTGCTCCTCATCATCTTCCTCATCGTCCGGCGGGCTCATTGAATTGCACAAATCTTTAGTGCAATAACAGAACTCAATAGAGTTGGCGGTTTTGCAATCGTTTAATTCAATTGCTTCGCAGCTTCGACTTAGAATCCGATTCTCGCTCACTGTAAATCAATAGCGATTTGTAAAGGCGTGAAAATGCGGAAGTATGTTAACTACCTTCCCTAGTCAATCGACAGCTTTTCCCATCAGCTCCGCAATCTTTCACATAGCCGGGATGTTCATTACTTTGAAACTCTACACAGGATGTTGATCCATCTTCCTGTCCCCCACAGGTGTAGCACTGAAGGGCTGTGGTTGTACCAACTGAAACCCAAAGATTCCATAAACGAATTCCCTTAATCCTGCCGTTTACCGACCGAAAAACAATGCGGAAATCACTGGAATTATTGCCCTAGGCCGCATCGTTATAGCGAACGTGATGAGTTAGCTACTAGCATTTACTAGAACAGTTAAACAGCCACTGTTTAAACAAGGTTTAATTGACTAAACGAGCAAGATCCGAAATTAGCAGGAAAACAAATAAATGCAAATCTGCTGAGGAATCTGAGGATGTTTTGATATGCGGCAGGCAGCATATCGGCGGCAGAGCGTGTAGGAAACAAATAAAAACAAGAGTCTAGGCAATATGGGGGGGCCTAGACGAGTAGGCAAGGCCTAGATTATCGACTCAATGTCACCAGGAATTTTCATTGTTGTTTATTTAAATGTAAATTGCACATTTACTTTTTTTACGGTAAATGAATTTTAATGTACCTAATTCAGTCTTTATTGATCTCTAATAAAGAACAAGCGGAAATGTTTATTACCGTAGTGTGTCATTTTATAAATGCGTCATTTTTATTGTGCCCTCTGAGGTTGTCTCAGAGCCTCAGAATGGAAGGGTTCTGGCTGGTTCTATTTTTCTTATTTGAATCTTTTAATTTGAACAAGGTATTTTTTATGGAAACTAAATTTTTATTGAAACCAAACATTTCTCCACTGAAACCAAGATTTTTTATCAATCAGGTTCTACCTATGAATTAAACTGACAATTAATTAAATTAAAATTAAAACTGACATGACGATGCAAGCGTGTAACGTTACACGTGTACGTGCAAAAGGCACATTCAAAAGCCTACCTTTAAGGGAAAATACCTATAGATTTCAAAATCACGGAATAAATCCTCACGGAAACCATCTGAGAAATGTGGTAGAAAAGTGGTATTTTCGTTGTGTTTTTAGCAAGTTACAGCTTACGCGAACTGATATGTCCGAAACCGGTTCTAGGGGTGCCTGCTAGTGACCCTCACAATAAGCGAGAACACTATACTGCCACTGTTGCTGTTTCTGTTGTTGTCATTCAAGATCTTAACCTAGCTTCTTCAGTTACCTGCCAAAAAATGTCTTGCACTACTAAAACGACCGAAAACACTCACGTTAAGAACAAGCAAAAAGACTTGCAAGAAGCCACCTCGTCCAAAGACGAGCAGCAAGTGCTAGAAAAGGTGAAAACCCTTGACAATGTGTGCACGTTCACCAAGTGCAAGAACAAAACAAATCTCATTGCCATTGACTGCAAGTTCTGCAAAGGGCGATTCTGTACTAGCCATGGATTGCCGGAGATCCATGGGTGTGGGGAAGCGGTGAGGCGCGAAGAACGAAGAGAATACATGCATCCCGACCCGAAGTTATCGCATGACAAGCACGAACAGGCCCAAACAAAGCTCAACATGAAACTGCGCCAAATGCAGCTGGAGCGGAAGTCCAAACAGGGCTTCCAGGACAAAGGAAAAAAAAAGAAATAAATGGTAATATTAGCTTAAGTTTTATCTACTACCATCATTTATAAATAATAGTAATAATTCCCAAATGAGAATAATTAACGCAGTTTATTTGTAACATATTTCCATTCGATCCCACACTACAAGCAAAACGACGCCGAAGTGCAATTAATGCCGTCGTAAATGAAAATATTGTTCAGTGGCTTATACTGGTTGGTAATCACCTTGATGACTTCTTGGGCTGCACAGCCCCCTAAAATCGAGGACACTGAATGCAACTCCGCGGTCCCATATCGGCACACCTCATAAACGCGCTCCTCCCTCAGGGCATGCGAGTAGCCCCATTCGCTGAGCAGCTTTCCAATCACCCCTGCAAACATACCATGAAGTTCCAATTAAACCATCCTTCCAACTTTACCTTTAAGCTTCAAAATATCTGGTTCCACTTGATCCTCGAACTGGCCAGGGTAGGCGTTGAATTCGCCAATAAACCTCTCTAGGCCCCTAAGAACCACATAATAGAATATGAGGCTATCAGGGTCTTCTAGATAGGCCGTTAAATCTAGATTGGTTTTCTGGTATTCGTCGGCAATGCATGTCCCCCTAATCAGGTGCAGTTCGCTTGAGTGCTTGCAAAAGTATTTCACCTAGAATGTCATTCATATGGAGCTGCTCAGTGTATGTTTAAGTCAAATACTTCGCTTTCCGTGATGGTTTCTTGGGACAAGCCGAGGTTTCTGGCTATTTGGGACGCGCGTCTGTAAATGACTTCGACTTGTTGCTGAGCGCGCTTTTGATAGATGTTTTGCAGGGTAACGTAACTGTTCGTGTCCGCTGCCATGTCTGGCAGTGTGCCCCGAACGGGCAGAGCCCCTTCAGCTTCGACCATTTCCCGCAAGGCTGCGCACATTATCCAGAAGGACGAACTGGATTGGGTCAAATTGGTGCAACAATCATCGTCTAATATCACCTAAATTCACCCATTGCTTTAGGCGGCTTCAAGCTTGAAATTTACGATAATTACTTGCACATGGTCCGGCACTGCTCTGGTGGTAACGCAAGAATTCGCATAATGTATGGCCTGCTCGAAGTTCTCATCTAAAACAAACCGTTGCTTGCCCTCCTCGGAGTTGCCACTGTCTCTGATCATCTGCTTTAGAGCCTCCTTTTCCACCCTCTTCTCAGGCAGTTTTCCTAAAAGAGTGATTCAGTTTGAACTACGGAGTTCTTGATTTGATTCACTCACCTTCATGGCTCTCCTTGTACTTGTTCAGGTAATAGCGCAGGATGACTGGAGGAGGCACATGGTTCTTCTCCTTCTGATCCAGCTGTTCGATGTTGACTCCATCCAGGTATTCTTGTAGGGCCGGCCACGGTATGTCCAATCGCAAATCAGGGCTTTCACTGTCGGGGTGCGCCTCTATAATTGTATGTTCCTTTATTTGGAGCCTCACATAGCCCAAAAAGCCGATGCTTCTGCAGACAAGCAAGGGCACGTTGCATTCCCATAAGTGCTTGGATAGAGTAACTAACACCCTGAAAAACACACAGAAACACTTACAATCCAAGCTGAGTTTAATATCTAAATTCCTATTATCAATAGTCTTTAAATGGCCTTTTTTCTGCTCGGATAACCTGTGAGAGTGTGAGTGAACAAAATAGATTTGGTTTTGCAATAAATTTTATTGAAAACATACAGTATGTAAATAAATTTATCAAATATATCGGTATAAAAGTAGATTCTAAGCAGCCTGCTTCTTCTTCAGGGCCTCAATATATAGCCCCAGGCCCTTCTGCACTTGGTCCTGCTGTATTGTGGCTAAGAACAGTTGTAAATCCGCCTCGCGCCCTTTCACCATACTCCTTATTGTTCCCCCTCGCACCGTTTGCTTGGATAGACTTCTGGCGAACGGCGATATTCGTGCAAAACTCCCAATAAAGCCCTGGGCCTTCTCCAAGCCTTCCTCCTTCGTCTGGACTACTTCATCGATCAGGCCCACTTTCAGAGCCTCATCAGTGGTGAAAAGCTTGCCGGTCGTTAAGGCTAGCTCAGTTTGTCGTTTCCCGATCACGTTTTCCATTGAGGCAGCAAACCATGAAGGGGCTACAATGCCCAGCTGAGTCTCATTGAGTCCGATAACAGCCTTGGGGACCATGATTCTGTATTCACAGCAGAGGGACAGTAAACATCCCCCTGCAGGGGCGGGTCCGTTTATCAAGGCAACGGTGGGAAATTGGGCGCTATAGAGCGAAATCCAAACGTCTTGCAGAGTGGTCCAGAACTCTTTCGCTCTATCCGGGTTGGGCTTGTACATTTCCAGAATGTCCAGTCCAGCGGAAAATGTCTTGAACGCACTGGTGATAATCGCACCGCGACTTTTGTTCTTTTCCAGGCCAGTTAAGGTTTGTTTGATTTCGGTCAGGAGCTCCAAGTTCAGGCTATTTACCGGGGGCCTTTGCAAAGTTACCACCGCCACACCACTTTTATCATTGACTTCCACATTAACTAAACTGGCTGCCGCACTGTAGTTTCTGGCAATTGCTAGGAATTGTCTGGATTTGCTTAAATGTTGTGATAAAGCCATTTCTCTTGGGCGTTAATTCGATTGCAACCAAATCGGAACTAGGCAGGTACAAAGGTTAAAGACTACAGCTCAAAAATAGGCCCCTCTCCTTGGGGACAACCAAACATAACCTCGCACAGTG